ACTTATGCAATTTTCTCTATGTTGAGCCTTAACCAAATATAAAACATGTTAGGAGCTTAGAACAATTAAATTTATAGTTCGGAATGTAGATTTCAAGATGTATAAAACTAAGGCCCTATTAGCTTTTGTAGACTTTGTAGTAGTTGAGTTATTAGATGTTTATGAAATCAAACCATCCTATGTTATCGAAACCACTCTATCAAATCCAATTAACCCTATGTTAATGAAACCACACTATGTCATGTTAACCATCCTAAGTTATCAAATCCAACCTATGTTATCCAATTCGCCCTATATTAAAGAAACCACACTATCTTATCAAACTACCCTCAGTTCATGAAACCACCCTATGTTATAATATCCACCCTATATAATGATATAAACCCTATCCAAACCACCCTATCTAATCTAATTCATCCCATGTCAATGAAACCACACTTGCTATCAAACTATCCTCTGTTCATGAAACTACCCTATGTTATCATATCCAGCTTAACTTATCCAATTCATCATATGTTAATGAAACCATGCACACTATGTTATGTTAAACATCCTAAGTTATCAAATCCAACCTTGTTATCTAATTCGCCCTATATTAAAGAACCCACACTATGAAATCAAACTACCTTCTATCCATGAAACCACCCTATGTTATCATATCCACCCTATGTAATGATATACACCCTATCCAAACCACCCTATCCTATCTAATTCACCCTATGTCAATGAAACCGCACTAAGTTATCACATTACCCTCTGTTCATGAAACCACCCTATGTTATCATATCCAGCTTAACTTATCCAATTCACCCCATGTTAATGAAACCACATTATGTTATGAAACCATTCTATGAAATTCTACTTTTTAGATAATTATAAAGTAAAAGAAAATACACTCATTCTATGAAATTCTATGTTATAAAGTAACACACTATGTTACTACTTAGATATCGGTACTCCTATATTCACAAAACAAGAGCTGGGAGGACATAATTTTAATTTCAGTTCAAATATAAAATTGCTAAGAATTTTAATTTCAGATCCGATAGACCTTATGCTTTGAAAAATACCCTTAAAGATAGTGATAAAGCAAGTTTATAAACATAATTGATGATAACAACTAAGTGGCATCCAACACATTATTAAAACACATTAAGAATTCAATCGCAGCAATCATGAAAAATCTTCTTAGAGTGCAAAGGTAGGTAATTTGTATACCTCCAAAATAGGTGAACAACCTATAAAGCAAAAGTTGGTGGCGGTGACTTTCTTGGCTCATTTATGAATGTTGTTCAATATAGCTTAAGCCTAATTAGTTTTTTCGAAGTTTTGACCATACTTGTAGCCATAACTGTTTTCATTTTATTTTTACTTTAATACAACATTTAACCCTACTTCGTATGATATTTCATGTTCCATTTTAATAAATATTATAAATAAAAGAAAATAAATAGGAAAACACAATGATTTAATGCACACGAAGTTGAAACATGTGTGCAATCTCTACAAAGCCAAATTCCGATTTGTTATACATACAATTATTGCAATATAAGGATGATACATTTTTTACAATACTAATCGATCTTTTCTAACACTTAAAATTCTAAATACAGCTTAAACTATTATATTATTTAGCTTTTATTCTTTGTTTCTCTCTTTGTATTAAAACATATGCCCATAATATTGTCTTTTTAAAGTGATTTTTACATTATTTTTTATATCCTGTTTCATGTAATTTGTTAATTTTTGTTTTCATGTAAATTTTAAAGTGACTTGGGCAAGGTTAAGGGTTATTGTTATAAATTTTAGTGTAGGTTTGGGCAAGGTTAGAGGTTATTGTTGTAAATTTTAAAGTGGGATTGAGCAAACTTAGGGGTCAAGTTTCGATTCGGAGATCTCCTGCATCAACACAAGATTGAAGCCCATTCTGAAAATCCGAATCAAAACGTACCGCAAAATCATTGTGAGATTTTTACTTCCTATTTTTTTGTTCAAATTAGGGTTTATATATGATTAGGACTTCCTGTAAATTAGAGTTTATGATTAGGATTTACATTCAATTAGGCTTTATGATTTATGATTAGGGTTTATAGTAAATTAGAGTTTAGCAGTTAAGATTTATAGAAGATCAATATATGTGATAATTATGCTCAGATTTGAGACTTGCTGCATGAATATGATCATTTGTGATGAATTTGAATATGATTTAAGGTTTGTTTCCTTAATCATATTATAATTACTAGGTTAGACTCCCGTGTAATGCACGAATATTAAATAATTATAAAAACAATATAATTATGTAGTATACAAAAATATTAAATCAATCACTAGACACTAACTATTAATAAACATGAAATATATTAAAACATGTGAAAGAAAAAATTAAAATATGTTATAGTTATATATAATGTGCAAGTTGATATTTTAGCAAGTTTACTCTAAATCAATCAATTAACCTATACTAAAAGCGAACCTAAAGTGACACTTGTCACGATGTCATTAAAAATTTTCCCGCCTTTTTTTCTTTCTTTTTTTGTTTTTTTCTTTTCCAAATTTGAATGACTTTTATTTTATAACCCACACTAATACTTATTTTTATTGTGACAACACATTTACTCTAATTAAACTCAATTAATTTTTTTATTACTTTTTTATCATATATTTTATATACTAGGAATATAGTTACAAATATTCTAATATAGATTAAAATTAAGGTATTGAAATATATCATTATCCAAGATTATTATAATATTATCAATTTTTTTTTCGTCCAACTTAAAATTTATTTTAATTAAAAATAGATAAAAATTATTTTGGTAACATACTTTGTATAAATCTTAAAATTATACATAATGTTTATAGAACAACTTAACAAAATTATTTTATTATATTATACTCCTCCGTTTCTTATAAGTTATAGTTTGATTTGCACATTTGTCGAGACACAACTTTAACCATCAATATCTTTAATTAGAGACTATTATTTTGTTACAAATATTTTTTTTGGTTAAATTATTGTTGAATTAACACCATTCTTTATAATTATTGCTGTAAAGTTTAATTATGAACGTACATGACACGGGACTTAACCTAATTTTGTATAAAATAAAAGTCAAAAATTAGATTCAAACTTCATTGGTGGGAAATTTTTTGATAATATAGCGCCAAGTGTCCTTTTAGATTTGGTTTTAGTAATATGTAATAGAAGATTATGATTATTTGAGTTGAATGAAACCCCTTTAAAGAGATGTGTTGGGTTTCCTCTCAATTCAGTAATGTAGAGGTAGAGGACTTGTAAGGTTGTCAAATGTTGGAGTAATTGAATATGAGTGATTTTGGGATTGACGAGCTCTAGTGGCCGGGTTGAGGAATGCGCCTTTTTCAGCCAAATTTATGAGTATACCATAGTAATTGAATTGGAATAGCCTCTTTCATGGGCTGTGTACGTCCAATCCTTGTTCTACTATTCCTATCCAGTATTCCGTCCTTAATTAGTTTGATCATCTTTAGAGGTGCTTGATAGATGTTGCTGATTGATTTTAATGGAATTGTTTGGATGCAGATGTAATTAAAATTTTTGGAGTATGAGCTAGTTTAGTATTTTTGGTTTCGTGAACTTTTGACCTGAGTTTCTTTATCATTTTGTTATGTTTTGGACCATCAACTCTAGCACTAGGCCACTGATGATATGAATTTATAGTTGTTCACATGCTTAAGAAAATCATAATTGATCAAATGCCTATTTTAATCAGATTTGAGACTTGCTTAATATGAATATGTCTTGTTATGAGATGTACTCAAATTTGAGACTTGCTGCCTATTTCAATTGCCATCATCACCCTCTACCACTCAGATAGATCAGATGTTCTACGCTACAACTCTACCTCATTTAATTTGAAACTAAAATTGAAATCGAAACTTAAGAAATTCAAATCGAAAAATCAGTTTGATTTTCTAAAAAACGTACTCCGTATAAAATACAATATTACACATATATTGAAAAACCTAACAATAACAAGCTAAAATACAACAATATGAATAAATCAATTTAACTACAAAGTTCACTGATTAGAAGCTAAAAATAAAATTACTCAAATATAGCAAAATTAAGAACGAATAACTCACTTGAAATCTATTTGTTAATTGAAATTTTATTTAATTTGAATTCTGTTTCTTAATTAAATTTGTATTTGTATTTTGAAATCAAACTGTTATTTGAATTTGTCTTCGATTTGAATTCTGTTTGCTGATTGAATTTTTATTTGTTAAGTTGAAATCAATCTGATTTATGAATTTGAATTGTGATTTACGATGAATCTGTTTATTGAATATGTATATGTGATTCAATATGACTTAGTTTTTTGAATTTATGTTTTATGATAATACAATCTTTCCGATATGTGAAGGACTACCTCCAAAATCTTTGCTATCTTTTTTTTTTAACTACTTATGAATCCTTGCAACAAAAGAATTCGTTATCTCTCTAATAATACCTTTTGTTGCAACTAATAAGGACTACCAACAAATCGCCCCTGATTTTTTAAGCAATTAATTTTTTTAATTGATTGTAAATAATTGTATTATTTTCCCTTTTGAAGGCAATGGAAAACATGGCAAATTGGAGTGAAATTATTAGGAAAATCGCAATGGAGCATCTTGATAGTTTAGAAGATTTTGATGCTTTTGGGTTGGTCTGTTCAAGTTGGAGAAATTCAATAAAGGATGTCAACAACTTCTGTCCATGTAAAAATACCCAACTTCCTTGGTTGATGTTAGCGGACCCTCCCAATAATTCACACCGCAGACTTTACAGTCTCTCCACACGTTCCGTAATATCAATCTGTCTGAGCCTCATGATGACCGATGGATGTTTTTTGCTTCGAATGGGTGGCTTATTTCTACTAGTCTCAGTAATCATAACATCACCCTTTTTGATCCTTCCTCCAGTAAAGTGATCAAGCCACCGAGTATTCTTCCAAAGCTATTGGATTTTTATGAAGATGAATTATTGGATGAGGTTACATCTTTATTTGTCTTGGCCGTCTTGTAGTGATGATTTTGTTGTTGCAATGTTGTTCGACAAAACCCAAAGGTTGGCCTTTTGGAGACCTGGGCAGCACGAGTGGAGTATACCTGATGTGCAATTTAAGGTTCATCAAGTGTCCGATGTCTACTACTTTAAGGGAGAATTCTATGCCGTAGATATATGTGGACAGGTAATGGCATTTGGATGTGAGGTAATGAAACGACGTTCAAGAATTGTTGCCAACCTCGATGTTCCTAAACTTCCTGAACTTGGTGCTGAAGTCTTTCCATATTTGGTAGAGGTAGAAAACACTTTGTTGGTAATATTTAGGATAGTGTTCATGTATGGTTATGGACATGTGAATGAAGACAAGTATTGGACTGAATCATTTGAGATATTCGAGTTGAATGTGGATGATGGAAAATTCAAACAAGTCCAGGGTGTGGGTGAACATGCTATCTTCTTGGGCTCAAACTCTACTTTCTCCGTGCATGCATCATCGTATAAGCATGGTTGTAAAGCTAATTGCATATATTTTACCGACGTCTATAGAGAAGCATTTCTTACTGGGGATGTATACAAAGGAGGAAGTGATATGGGCATTTACAGCATGAAAGAAAGGAAAACCATTGAACGATTATATGAAGGTCCTTCCCAATTCTGTGATATTACTCCACCTATGTTGGTAGAGCGCCCTCATTTTTAAAAATTGCAACTTGTTAAGGTTACTCCCAGTATATTACTATAAGTTTATTGCGCCCACTTACTTGATTGTTCCTTATGACGAATTATGTTAGCCAACTCCAAATCATTTTGGGACTAAGTTTTTTTTGTTGTTAAATTGAATTACTTTTATAATTAAGATATCATTTCATTGAAGATTTGTAGTGTATGAAGTATATAATTTTCTTTTAAACATCAATCAACTCAAAGAAGCCTAAAGTCATAATTTTCTTTTGGTTATGACTTGATTTCTTCTGACTGATAGGATGACAAATCTTTTTCGTAATGAGTTGTTTTATATATATGCTTCCAGTTTCCTGATGATCGAAATGTTTGTGTGTTGCGTTTGGCAGGACTTTATACAAGTGTAGAGGTAAATTGGCTAGTGTAGCTTATTCTGGTAGCTTTTGAGTTAGCTTTAAGAGAATTTTGTCTGTTGAATTAGATCCCAAATTTGGGATGCAAAGCAAAAAAATTTATAGATCAATAGAATTTTGAATCTGTAGAGGAAGTGAAAGTCATACATACGATTGAAACCTAACTGTCAGTTATACATGCAGGACTTTTTTTTTTGTAGCTTAGAGTCATAGACTGATTTAGTTCTTTATTTTATTTTTTTTTAGGGAAAGTATAGACTGATTTAGTTGAACCAAGCTTAAATCTTCATCTTTATCCCTTGTTGGGTTCGCAGGATTACCTAAATGATTCTCTCTCCGGTGATTTGCAGAATTGTAAAGTTTTCGATTTCTTTCAGCGAAAAATTGAATCTGGGAGTGAAATATCGAGTGAGAAATAAGAAATGAGAGGGAAAAGGGGGAAGGTAGTATGTCAGGAAATGTGATGTTACTGATATAAATGCGATCAAGAGTTGGTGTACACAGATTTTTAAGGGGTTAGACCATTGTCACATACATGATCTCAAGATCCTTCATCGCAATCTTAACTGTTGTTTCGGGTGAAAACAATGGGATCTTGCCGAAGGTCCGCTGAAACGGAGAAGACTGGATTCGGTCCAAGTTATGTTGGGCCGAAGGTTTCCTGCACAGTAAACACACGTAAACTAGCCTCGGGGGTGTTGCCGAGGAAGGCCCCTCCGATGCTAAAGTCAGTACAATGTGTAGAAAGAGAACACTATGCAAGAGAGTTAGTTGCTTGAGGCTTTGCTTGAATATATGAGAATATATGAATCTATGAATGAATGAACCTGAATGTATGAATATTGATGGCTTTTATACCTCTTCATACATGGAGAGGTTGGGCCTTAGCCCAATTGGCTTGCTTTGAGGGCTGACCTTTGACTTTAGCACAATTGGAGAGTTGAACCTTGACCTTGGGCTTTTAATTGGATCATTTAATGCCTAGGCCCAATTGGACTAAATTGGACCCAAACAACTTGCCCCCCAGACCCGATTTGGAAGGATGACGGGTCGGGTTTGATTTAATTCAGAAAAGGAGGGAAGTAAATGATTTAATTAATCCAAAAATTTGAATTTAAACCGTAATTAATGAGATAACAACGGTTAAGGCGGATGATTGTGGAAGTTGGACGGATAATGGGTAGTTTAATCACAAGATCGTGTGTTTAACGGTTACTTAAGTGGGGTATTTAAGAGAAATTGAAACGCGGACTCCTCGTATCCCATTCCTGGAGATATAAACAGAGGCGCGTCATCTCTCCTCACTTATTCACCAACACAAACCCAGAATTCTCGAGAGAAACCAAGAACCCGCATCAAAACTTCGCAAATTCCCCGAGCATTAAGCTTAGAAACTGGGACTTGCCACTACGAACTCGTAAATCGGCAACTTTCGCTTCAGATTAAGGTAAATTCCTTTGATTTCAGTTTATTTTTCTTCGAATTCGAACTCCTTCCCTTTTTTTTTCGACTTTTTTCTACGAAATAATCAATGGCAAGAGGAGTTAGAGGTAGAGCCCGTGCTCCAAGAAGAGCAAGGCCAATTCCCGATCCTAGGAACAGGATTGGGACCTGGAATGGACAAAGGCCAGAGTCTGACCCTGCTGAAGGGATTAGGGCGACTCCAATTTCCTCGGCTCCTCCTCAGAGAACGGAGGGGCCGAGCGCTTCTGGACGGGACGATGAAGTTCCCGCTGTCCTTTGGGATATCCTCCCCGGGTTTTCAGAGTGGGAGAATGCCGAAGTAGCTTCGGCCATGATAAAGAACCGCCCCTACTCATGGTGGGTGGAGAATGCCGAACAATATCGGTTTGCCGAGCAAATTGAGTTGCATTACGGCATTTTTGAAGCCGATGGGTATTGGTGCCGAATGCCCGCGGCATCCGATAGAATCCATCGTCCACCCCCGGGGTATGTGGGGGTGTATACAAGACAGCTTCAGTACGGGCTGAGGTTCCCTTTGGACGTATTCGTCCGAGACTTGCTGATCCATTACAATATCTCCCTATGTCAGTTAACTCCCACCAGCATCTGAAGGGTGATGACATAATTATGGGTCTGCAAGTTCTTCAAGTATGTGCCGAACCTGCACTGCTTCAAAAAGCTTCATCGGCTAGTGCCAAATATTCAAAGTGGGCACGGAAGCCATGGTTCTGGGTGGTACCGGATTGAGTCTCGGCCCCAATACCTAACCATGTGGCTGAACGACTCTTCATACAAGGACTGGAGAGGTCAATGGATTTGGGTTAGGGCACCCACAGATCCGGGCCACCCTTGTGTCTTCAGCGCTCCCCGGTACCTTGCTGAGCCTGATCCCGACATGGGAAGTCTAGGTCCCCCCGCAGATAACGGGCCGGATCCGAACCTTGATCAACAACATATCTTCGGCAAGCTGCCGAACCGGGGGGGCAGCGGCCGAATGCAGCATATCCCGGAGACTTGGCTCCCCGATACGCATTATGTTTTCCAAGAGAACATGCTAGCAGCTGTTGGCCTCAGCCGAAAGTTTAAGGATGGTAAGCTTCTTCGGCTGGGGCCGAGGCTTTTTAATTATCTTTCTCTCGCTTCACTTTTTTATGCTGTGCCAACCTATCTGAACTGATCTTTCCCCTTTTCTTTTTCAGAGCGGGACGAGACCAACGTTGGCATTAACTACGCTCGTCTTGGTGTCAACCGAGAACGAGTTGTAACTGAACGGGCCCCGTCTATCACTGAACCGAGGCATAGGGAAGTTCATCTAGACTCTTCCCACTTCCAAATTGAGGTTGTTGCTCTGTATCAGAGGCAGAAGCCTTGGTGGAAGAAGAGAGACCCCTGGTTTCAGCTGCTGGACGAAGAAGCTGAAGCTGCCCGTACAGCCGAAGAGGTTGCACGGGTTCTCCAAGCTTGCGAAGGAGGAGAAGGGTCCTCCAGAGCTGCTGAAGAAGAAGCTGCAGCTAGGGCAGCTGAAGAAGACGAGGCTTTGCTGAAGACCTCGGTGAGCTTTCAGACTTAACTTTGTCTTTCTTCTTTTTTCTTCTTCTTTTTTTTTTTTACTCACATTCTTCCTCCCCCCTGTCTGTTACAGTCTGAAGAGAGTAACAGACACAGAGAAGGGAAAGCCCCTGTTCGTCCCGAAGACCAAATACAAGAAGAGTCTTCAGACTCAGATATGGACGAGCAGCCCCTTCAGAAAAGGCGCCGAAGGATGGCCATCATCGGGCCGCATGACTTTCAGCGGAGGCCGATGACCATCGGCGTTGAAATAAGGGAACCCGAGGAAGGCAATGGATCGCCGAGGGTTCCCCGGCCACAACCTCAATCACCTCTAAAGACCCCTCCGCCACCTTCTGAGATGGAGGTGGATCAAAAGACTCCCGAATCAAAGGGAGGGGTCCAAGAAGAAATTCAGGAGAGTGCTGCTGAGCACAAGAATAAGGATGCCGTGATGCCCAGTGCTGAGGGTTTCACGGCAGACATCGCAAGAGAGGTTGAGGCTTTCGTCCTCACCCCTGAAGAAGAGGAGGTCATAGTAATTGACTCCTCTGAGAAGGATGATGCTGATCCATCCAAAGCTAAACAAGCTCCATCGTCATCCTTTCCCTCCTTTCAGACTCTGCAATATGGAGAAATGGGTTTCTCGGCCCCCCGAATTCCAATCCCAGATCACATCTGGGACCTCATATGGGGTCGGAACCGAGAAGGAGCTGCACCCTACTTCGGCGATTTTGCTGGCATGTCCGAAGTAGATAGGGCAAGAATCTGGTCGCTGAAGGCCACTGCTGGGATGGGCGAATCCAGCAGATCAGTTCCTGACCCAGCCAGGTCTAACCAACTGCTAATGATGCAGGTGATTTTCCTTGCCTTTATTTCCTCTAAAATTCAGCTCTATTTTTATTATTATTTTTTTTTTATTTTTTAACTTGTCTTCCTGTTTTCAGTTCGTGCACAATCAGACTCTCACTGTAGAGCTGATAGATACCCTACAAGATAGGGTAGACGCTGCTGAGCACGACAAGAAGGTAGCTGAAGAGGAATTAAAGCTTGCTAAGCTGAAGCAAGCAGCAGCTGAAGAGAAGCAGCAGAAGGGTGAGGAGTACGAGAAAAAAGCTGCTGAAGCCCTCAAAACCTTCTGCGACGCTATGGAGAAAGAAGTTTTTCCCCCACTGATGGAAGGGGAAAAATTCCTCCAGGAGCACATGGGAGTGGACGTCTCCAAATTCAAGGCTGCCGTTGAGAGCCGTATTCAGGAAGGAGATGCTGCACAAGCTGAAGTGCAGCAACGACTAGAAGCTCTTGAAGCCAGCCGAATGGCTGCTGAAGAGCTGCTCCAGGCCAGGGACGTCCAACTCTCAGAGGCTGCTGCTGCTGCTGAAGCTCAGAGAGCTAAACTCCATGAGGCTGAGGATCAACTGATGGCCAAAAAAGATGAAGTGGCCCAGGCTCAGACAAAGGCTTCCCAAGTTCAGCAGGAGCTGAATGAGCTGAAAGGTTCCTCCTTCAAGCTCGCCGATGAGCTGAAGAAATCCAAGGAAGACTTGGAGGAGACCCAGAAGAAGCTAGCTGATGCTGAGGCTTTACTCAAAGTCCGTGTCTATACCCAGGAAGAATATGAAATGGGTTTCAGAAACGGGTTCAGAGTATGCCGAAGAGTCTGCCTTCATGCTGAGCCGAAGCTGGACTGGTCCAAATGTGCTGAATGGGTCCAGAATCCCGAAGACCCTCATATGAAGTATGCAACTCCAGTCAAAGCTGAAATTCTTAAGGCTGAGGAAGCCGAAGAGGAAGCTGAGAGAATGGAGTTGGAGGCTGAACAGAGGGAAAGGGAGGCTCGGCAGAGTGCAAAGCCTGCTTCTTCTGCTGCTGGGGTTGAGGCCACCATGGGGCTCAACAATGCTGATCAGTCTGATCCTCGGGCTGAAGCATAGGAACTCGGGCAGTCGTCTTCAGAATCTTGCGATTCATCATGCGCTTAACTTTAGACTTGCCGCTTTCTGAATTTTTTGCCTTGTTTTTTGCTTCAGCTTGCCTTGTCGTACAACAGTTTATTTTTTTGCTTATGTACGTATTTCGGCAGCTGTTATTTTCCGCTTGTGGGCGGCTGCCGATACAGTTTAATTGAACTTGTAGCTCAATTTCTGAGCATAAATTATTAATTTGATGCTCTTTTCTTCAGCTGCTTTGTTTTTGAATGCTTTACTGTTTCTTTTATTCTGCCGAACATAAACTTGCACTGATAGTGCTTCTTGCCCCCCCCAGAAATTGAAGTATGGCTTCAGCAGAATAAACAATTTCTTCACTTCTTTAAAATGGGTATCCGAAACACAGGGCCAACTGAAGGCAGTGCTTCTGGAATACAAGTCTTATTGAAGATTGACTTCTGGTGAAAATTGGATATCCG